TATAATATATATATATATATATATAAGATAAATATAGATAAAAATTATATATATATTATATTATAAATAAATACTAAAGAATAAAGAAATACAAGGAACCCTAGACCCTAAACCCTAAACCCTAGACCCTAAACCCTCGTTGCATACCATTAAGTAATTGCCATGCATAGAATTTAAGTGCTGAGTGATTAATCTTTTTTTGTAGATGTAATAATCTAGTGAATGCAGCAAGATCTGTATTACATTTTTCTACAATAAGTACACCAGCTGTCTGTACACCCGAGAGGTATACATCAGCAAAGGGTTTAGAGAAAAAAGCATATGTATTAACACCATAAACCCTAAGTAGATTAGCAAACCCTAAACCCTCTGATCCTGGTGTCTCTAAATCACTATATAAAGAAAATTCACGTAATACATCTGCTGTTGCTCCTTCTTTCTTATAATTAGGCAGCAGCAGCAATTTTGCTGCATATCCTTGTGCTGATGATAAACGTTGTGCTGCTGCAGCTGCTGCTGCTGCTGCTGCAGCTGCAGCAGCATTTGCTGCTGCTGTTGCTGATGATGATGATCCACTTGTTGTTACAGATCCAGTACGGCATGGATCAACACTCGATCCTGCTGCTGCTGCTGCTGCTGCTGCTGCTGCTGCTGCTGCATCTGGTGTTTGTTGTGCATTATTAGCTGCTGCTGTTATATCTGTTGCATTTGTTGCTGTTGCTGTATTTGAATTATTAGCATTAGCTGCTGCACCTCCTGCTGCAGCTGCTGCTGCTGCTGCTGCAGCTGCTGCAGCAGCAGCAGCAGCAGCAGGAGGTGCAGGTATAACCTCAAAAACCCTACCAAATTGACCCTTACCTAGCTGCGTATACACCGGAAGTTGGAGTGTACCTGCAGGTAAATTTAGGGTTTGGTAACCCCGCCATTTTAATAACCAATAAACACCATTTGTTGTTAAGAAAGGAGACTCAGGGGGGACACGATAAGGGTTTATTGAGGGTTTAGGAGGGTTTGGAGGGTTTAGAGGGTTTGGAGGGTTTAGAGGGTTTGGAGGAGAAGAAGAAGAAGAAGAAGAGGAGGATGACATAGCCCGTAAACCCTAAACACTTATTTATTCATAGTCTTGTCTAATAAGAAAGAGACACATTAAGAAAGAGGAACAGGAGGAGGAGGGAGGTAATAATAATAATAATAATGCTGCTGCTGCTGCTGCTGCTGCAGTTGCTGCAGCAGCAGCAGATGCAGCAGGAGGAAGAGGAGGGGCAGGGAGAGGAGGAGGAGGATAATATTTATAATTATTGCGCGAAGGCGGAGGGCTCAAACCCTAAACCCTAAACCCTTAAAACCCTAAACCCTTGAAACCCTAAACCCTTGAAACCCTAGAGAGTGTATAAACCCTCGAGCATATAAGGGTTATAAGATGCTGCTAAACCCTAATAATATTGTAAACCCTAAACCCTAATAAATAAGACATAAGAAGGAAAGATGTATATAAGAAAAAAGAAGGAAAAAGAAGAAAGTGCAGCAAAAAAAGGAGACAATTAATGAATAAATAAGACAAATAAATAAACCCTAAGGAGAATAACACTTAATATAAATCAGCAAAAAAGGGTTTAGGGTTTATACACCTCAAAGAAACAGCAGCAATACCGAGCAGCTATGCTGCTGCTGCTGTTGTTGTTATTGTTGTTGCTGCTGCTGTTGTTGTTGTTGCTGCTGCTGCTGCTGCTGTATACGCCCCTCTAATTACAGTGTATGTACACCTCAAGAGGAGAAAAGAGATAAATAAACAATCAAGAAGAAGAAGACAAAAAAACAACAAAGACGAAGACGCACGCATAACAACCCTAATACACCTCAACACCACCGACCTCGAGCCCCAAGATCGTTGAAACCCTAAACCCTAAACCCTAAACCCTAAACCCTAAACCCTAAACACTAAACCCTAAACCCTAAAAATTAAAAAAGGCAAGAAATAACACCTCAATTAAATACCTATAATACATATCTTCTCTAAATATACACCAGATAAACACTCCTCTATATAACCACTCGGTGGTTATTTAGAGGGTTTAGGGTTTACACGCTTTAGGGTTTAGGGTTTAGGGTTTGAAGGCATGCGGCCGCTCGGGTGTGCACCGGTGGTTTCGTGTAATCTGCAGTAATTATTTTATATTTCTTTTTTTGTTTATCTTTTGTTTTTTATATTTCTTTGTATTTTCTTCCCTTACTCTTTTTCTTTAGCTGCGCTGCTTCTGCTCGCTCTCCTCAGGTGTATATGCATGTATAGTATATATACACCGTAGGGTTTGGTGTTTTTTTTTCTTGACAGCAAAAAGGGTTTAGTTATATTCTTCTTCCTTGGCTTTATTTTTATTCAATTTACCTTTTTCTTGCTATCTTCCCCTATATACGCAAACCCTTAAGTACTCTAAACCCTAAACCCTAAACCCTAAACCCTAGTTCCCACCCTTGCATGCACTTCCCTTATCCAGCCCCAAAAGTCGCTGACAGCGGCATTACATGGATGCTGCCGCCTGCGGCAGCACAGGATTGGTGGGGCTCAGGGTTTAGGGTTTAGGGTTTAGGGTTTGGGGTCTAGGGTTTAGTGTCTAGGGTTTAGGGTTTCGGGATGAAGCTCATCGCCATTTTCGTCTGTCGCTGCCCTGCCGGCTCGGACAGCGTTGTCTTCCTGAGTGCTGCTTATGACCTCTCTAGGTGCGTCAAGGGTTTAGGGTTTACGGTTAAGGGTTTAAGGGTTTGTGTTGGTGCATGTGCTGCATTAGGGTTTAGGGTTTACTGCAGTCCAACACCTTGTACAGCTAAACCCTTTAGTTAAACCCTAGCCAATCATAAAGTTTAGGGTTTTTAGGGTTTGTATGAGGTGTCTTCTACTATTTTGGGTTTGAGGGTTTACTAGGGTTTAGGGTTTCCTAGGGTAGGGTTTAGGGTTTAGGGTTTAGGGTTTAGGGTTTGCGTCTCAGCTTTTCCTTCTACCAACGGAACACTGTAAAGGAAGGTCTTAAGTTTGTTACAAGGACAGCCATCCCTCGGGTTTGTCTTTTTTTTTTATTTGCGGTGTATATGCACCTTTTTCTGTTCCTTATTCCCTCTATAATTAGGGTTTAGGGTTTAGGGTTAAGGGTTTTAGGTGTATGTGCAGCTGCCTGTAGACATCCAGCAGCAGCAAATAGAAAGGGTTTATTAATGGGTTTGTCCTTTTGGTTTGGGGTGTACATTACTCCCCTTCATTTTCTTTAAAATTAGTGTTTAGGGTTTAGGGTTTAGGGTGTAGGGTTTAGGGTTTTGGGTGTATGTGCAGCTGCCTGTAGGCAGCCAGCAGGAAGTAGAGCACGAGGGTTCTTGTGCCTTTGTTTATCGTTATCCTGATTCTTTAGCTGTATTGGCTGTAGGGGACAGTAATTATCCAAGAAGGTGTAAACCCTAAACCCTAAGCCCTAATCTAAACCCTAAACCCTAATATAAACCCTAAACCCTAAACCCTAATATAAACCCTAAACCCTAATATAAACCCTAAACCCCATTTTTAGGTTTAAACCCATCAATCTGTAGGATTTTTTTTGCTTTTTCTTTGAATTAGGGTTTAGGGTTTAGGGTTTAGGGTTTATATATGTATAAATGTATATACAGGATAGCATTTGCATGTTTAAATGAAGTACATATACAATTTATTCGTACAATTAATTCATCTATTTGGCTAAATGTACAAAATAAAAAAGGAGACACTTCTAATCATCCAAGTGTCTCCTTTAAGGATAAATTAAATGATATAATTAAAAAGTATAAGGTTAGTATATTTATTTTATTTATTTATTTTATTTATTTATTTTATTTATTTATTCAATTTATTTATTTATTTTATTTATTTATTTATTTATTTTATTTATTTATTTATTTATTTTATTTATTTATTTTATTTATTTTATTTATTTATTTAGTTTTTATATTTGTGTTTATTGTATGTATTTATTTATATTTATTTATTATTTGTTTATTTGTATATTTATTTACTTGTATATTTATTTGTTTATATTTATTTATATTATTTATATTTGTTTATATTTATATTTATTTATATTCCCTTATTTATATTTATTTATATTTATTTATATTTATTTATATTTATATTTATTTATTTGTTTATATTTGTTTGTTTATTTGTTCAGAATCCCCTAGAGATGGACAAGTTGCTGCAGGCGCAGCAGAAGGCGGATGCAGCACAGGTATGTAGGAGAAAAAGGGTTTAGGGTTTAGGGTTTATAGTCTTTTTATTTGATCTCTAGGGTTTAGGGTTTAGGGTTTAGGGTTTAGGGTTTGGGTGTGTACAGGCGGTTGTACGGCAAACAATAACTTCTGTATTAAGGCAAGGAGAAAGTCTCCAAGGACTAATAGAAAAAAGCGGAGATCTATCCTGTAAATTAGGGTTTAGGGTTTAGGGTTTAGGTACAATAGGCACAATAAAAGAGTTAATAAGTGTTATGTAAATAAAATACATATGAACAAAAAGGAGACAAAAAGGAGACAAAAAGAGACAAAAAGGAGACAGGGGAGATACTAATTCATGTTGCTCTTTTTTAATACTGTTATTTGCTGCTGTTGCTGCTGTTGCTGCTGTTGCTGCTGCTGCTGCTGCTGCTGCAGGTAGCTCTAAGCAGCTATTTAAACAAACGAATAAGGTAAAACACAGCTTCGGCTGCTGCAGGATGCAGTAATTAACAGCAGCAGCTGCTGCTGCATATCTGCTGCTGCTGCAGCAACAGCAGCAGCAGCAGCAGCAGCAGCAGCAGCCTTTTAGTTGCTGCTATATGGTTAATTGTCTTTCCTTTTTTATGTTTGTTAACGAATAAACAAAACCCAAAAAAGAGGTGCATTTGTCCTCTTATTGTCTACATTCTTTTTGCTGTTGCTGCTGCTCAACTGTTGCTGCTGCTGCTGCTGCTGCTGCTGCTGTTGGTAACAGCTAACTAGCTAGAGACAAAACAGCTACAGCTAGCTGGCTAGCCAGGAAGCAGCTAGCCACCGCAGCCCTCACCTAGTTAATGGTCTGGATTCCTGACGCACGCCTATGTAGCTGGCTAGCTAGCTAGCTACTTCCTGATGCTGCTGGTTGTCCTGCTGCTGCTGCTGCTGCTGCTGCTGTCATATATATATTAACTAATATTAATTAACAACTATATTGAATAGATAACACACACTACAGAGACTACGAAGGAAATAAACAACACAAAAGGAAAAACAAAAAGAAAGAAAGGGAACAATAAATAAATAAATAAATAAAAGTAAATAATAATAAATAAACAGTTTAAGAAAAAAAAAAAAATAACAACGCACATTTATCTGGCGTCTTTCTGCTGTATATATATATATATACATATATATATATATATA